GTGAAGCAGTACAAGCTGTTGTGGGGCCTTGGGCCTTCTTTTGGATCTTCTGGGACTCTCTGACCCAGCTGCAGTTTGTTAGGTAATTTTAGATTCCAAAGGGCCAGGCCATTCATATGCAAAAGCCTCTGTGCACAGGTTGGGTGGGGCGAGGTCTCAGGGAATCAACAGGACGGAGCAAGCAGCTATGGCTGATCCTCAGTTCTGCCCTATGAGGCCCTGTGTCTCAGTGTCCCGGTAATCACTGCAAGCACCTCTGAGAGAAAGCCTCCCTCGAGTTCCGACCAATGCCAGACAGTCCAGTTTCTCCCAGTATGAGTCTGGGTCCCCAGAGACTTGCCCGGAACTGGAGTTCAGAGCAGTTGGGAACTTGTGTCTCCCTCCAGTTTGGAAAAGACAGCAGTGTCCTCAGTTGCCAGCCCTTTCTGTGGGCGCCTCCATACCTCTGCACTTTACTTCCGCACCTCCTCTGAGTCTCAGTGTGCTTTTCTCTTTCCTTCTAGTTGTAGAATTTCACTCAGCCAGCCTTTCTTTGGTTCTGGATGATGTCCGTTTTGTCTTTTAGTTGTAGTTTTGAAGTGGTTGCGCGAGGCAGCAATTTCCGGTGTTTACCTATGCCACCATCTTGGTTTCTCCTCTAGGAGTTCTTAAGGTAAATTAGGGTTCTCTTTATTTTTATTATTTGGTATAAAATATTTGGTTATGTCACTGGGAGTCTTTTTTCTGTTAAGCAAGAGTATCATAATTATTTGGTACCAATTATATGCAAGAAACTTAAGGAGATATGACAGGATATTTAACTTCAAAGGCTTAATATCAAACTGACTATTAGAGTACATACCAATATAATCTGGTATATGGTAGGTGGCAAATGAGTGGTATAGATAGTGGTACTCCAAGTGTTAATAATGAATTGGTCATTAAAGCTTTCACAAAGGATGTAGGATATGAGTCAGGCCTAAAAAGACAAGTGTTAAGAGGCCATTCTAGGTATAAGGACTAAGAATGGATTATTCCTTGTACTAGCTTTTTAAAACCTGGATTTAAGTCAGGAGTTGATATTGAAGGGGCTCAAATGATAAGCTAAAGAGTTTAAACTAGGTGTATTGGTTAATAATTAGGATTTTGTAATAAAAGAAAACACGATAATTTCAAGAGAAACATCAAAAGTGCTTTACTCAAAGTAATGTCCATCGCTAGCTACACATTTCCCCCATCTTTCAGGTAATTTATGGGTACCATCCCAATAGAACTTTTCTTGTTTTAAGGCAAACCATTCACAGACCCAATTTTCTACTTCTTAGTACGTTTTGAAGTGCTGCTGAGAAAGTGCGTGTGCCATATATCGTAACAAGTGGTAATCTGCAGGAGCAAGGTCTGGTGAATACAGCCGGTGGGTTAATACTTCCCAGGCAAGATCTTTTAACGTGTCTTTAACTGGTTTTGAAGTGTGTGATGGTGTGTCATCATGAGGCAAAATTACTTTGTCGTGTTTTCTGGCACATTCTGGTCGTTTCATGATTAAATCGTGGTTCAAATTGATTATTTGTTGTCGGTAGCGATCAGTATTAATGGTTTCACCTGGTTTTAGAAGCTCATAATACACCACACCTTCCTGATCCCACCAAGTGCAGAGCATTTGGCCTTGCAGTCGATGTTGATGGTTGACCTGGATCAACCCATGATTTTGTGTATTTGGGATTCTCAAAATAAATCCACTTTTCATCGCCAGTCACACAATTCAATGCGAAAAAGACTTTCTGTCGTGCTGTTGAAGCAACAATTTACTGATGACTTTTTGGTTTTCCATTCATCTTTCGTTCAGTTGATGTGGCACCCATTTTCCTTCCTTTAAAATCTTTCCCATTGCTTGTAAAGGATCGGAAATTGTTTGCTGAACAACATTTAATCTTTCTGTAAGTTGTTTTTGAGTTTGACATGCATCTTCATCCAATAATGCTTGTAATTGTTGGTCTTCAAACTTTTTTGGTTGACCTGGATGTTCTTTGTCTTTCACATCGAAATCATCACTTTTAAAGCGTTTAAACCAGTGTTCACAAGTATCTTGAGATGGAGCATGTTCACCATAAGCTTCCAAATTATTCAGCAGCACTTTTCTTCAAAATAATGAATTAGAACTTCTGCAAATGCTCTTTTTTTGGCACAAAATTCGACATTTTTAAGTGTAAAAATATCTATGATGTTAACACCTTCAGAAAACTTGACATATGAAGTTTTGAAGCTTGTTGTCAATACAACAAAGTAGCATATCAAATCACATATATGTCAACATATGTGTAACTCCCATCTAGTGAAAAAAAAATCCACATTATTAACCGGTACCCCTAGTAATTGGAAAGTAGAAAATAGTTTGAGCAGTGGATGGTGATAAATAAGATTATAGTCCAGCTGGTGTTGCTCAGTGGTTGAGCATCTACCTATGAACCAGAAGGTCACCGGTTTGATATCTAGTCAGGGCACATGCCCGGGTTGCAGCTCAATCCCCAGTAGAGGGCATGCGGGAGGCAACTGATCAGTATTTCTCACTCTAGCCAGTTTGGCTCAGTGGATAGGGCATCGGCTTGCAGACTAAAGGATCCCGGGTTTGATTCCAGTTGAGGCCACATGCCCAGATTGCGGGCTCAATCCCCAGTGGGAGGTGAGCAGGAGGCAGCCAATCAATGATTCTCATCATTGATGTTTCTATCTCTCCCTCCCTCTCCCTTCCTCTCTGAAATCAATAAAAATACATATATTTTTAAAAAATGTTTCTCTCTCATTGATGTTTCTATCCCTCTCCCTTCCTCTCTAAAATCAATAAAACCATTTTTTAAACTGATTTTTTGAGAGAGAGAAACATTGATGTGAGGGCAAAACATCAATCGGTTGCCTCCTGCACAGTCCCTACTGGGGATTGAGCCCACAACCCTGGCATGTGCCCTGACCAGGACTCGGACCAGTAACCTTTTGGTGCACAGGACTACACCCAACCTACTGAGCCATACTGGTCAGGGCAATAAAAACATATAAAAAAAGAAAATAAATAGGATTGTTAAAATTTCTGTTGTTCAATTAGTTTTCCTTGTTAAATGAGAGGCACCACATAAAGTGATATTGACTATCTTTCATTAACTGTACTAATATCCCATGCATAGGTTAGAAAATTGATATATTTTTTCAATTTATTTTTATTGATTTCAGAGAGGAAGGGAGAGGGAGAGATAGAAACATCAGTGATGAGAGAGAATCATTGATTGGCTGCCTCTTGCACGCCCCCTACTGGGGATTGAGCCCACAGCCCAGGCATGTGCCCTTGACTGGAATCGAACCCAAGACCCTTTGGTCCACGGGCCGATGCTCTATCTACTGCTAGGGCAGAAAGTTGGTATCTTAAATGTGAGTTTTTGCCATATTTGTGGGAAATAAAGTTATTGTTCTGATCTATAAGCAGGTGTTACAATTATCCTTTTCCCAGCTGAAGGCAGTTTTTGGCTTTCTGCAGGTTTCTAACCTTGAGTGCTATGTTTTTCTAATATATACATGCAAGTGTACAAGGAAAATGAGAGCTGTGGTTGATTACTTCACATAATATTACACAAGTCTCAGTGCAATCTAGAAAATTAATGACAAGCATTATAAAAATAAACTCCATTTGTTAGAAAAATAGAGTGAACACAAATAAGATAGGAAGGACAAGAGACAAGGTAGTACAGTTTTCCAAATTTTATAAATGAGACTATTATGTGAGTGATAATTGATGAAAATTTGGGAGTTAGTTGAATGCTCAAAATTGTCTGGATAGGCTGACATACTTTTTCTGTCTTCAAAAATTTTTATAGTATAAGGGAAGAAAGTATATAGCCTGACAGTTTCTCATAGAGACACACTCCTAGCAGTTAAGATGGGATTATCTACATAAGACATTGTAAATTGTATTTCTACTTTACTAATATTATGTGAGGAACTTTGGGTAAATAAAGATAATTGGAGAATATTAGATACAATTGAAAATATAAAAAAGAATGAGGAAAAATATAAATTCATAATTTTGCTCATGTAGGAAATGCAGTAATGCTGACCTCGTCTCATCACCCTGATCTTTTTACCTTAATTTGTTTTATTGCATACATAATCATGCAGCTCTTTTCTTCCTTAAAGTTTTAAGGAAAATATTTAATGAAAGTGAAACATAACTATGTGTTTAGTGGTAAGAATATATATTTTTTTTGTTAAGGATATTCACTTGGATTATAAAAAATAGTATCAAAATTATCTCATTGTATACTTTTGTTTTGGGCTCAGTTTGGGACACTGGAGAATTCCCACAGGAATGAGGTTGGTTTAAGACTTTGTTTCTCAGCTTTATTTTCACTTTGGATTTGTGCACAGGATTAGTTTCAGGTACTTTTTCTTTGTATACTCAGTGCACAGTGAAACTAGACCAAAAGTTGAGCTTTCCAAAGTTTTAGTCTAGGACTGCTTAGTACTACTAGGGTTTTGAAAAGTCCTTTATAGAAGAAGTCTCTGTCATTCAGTAACTTGTCTTGGATAGTGTGATTGCTGTCAGTGCTTGATAAATGATGGGGTTGGAGGAGGGGGAGAGTGAGTAACCTCATTTCTGATAGATTCTGTCCAAATTAAAAGGAAGAGCTTTTGTCCTCAGTTTATTTAACTAGATTTAACCCTACCATATCTGTCTGTTACCTAGTGACAAAAAAGCCAACAAACAATTTTCTTTTGGGCCATATGTATAGTATTAGAAGAGAGCCTTTTATATTAAAGGCTTGTGTGTTCCCTTAGCTGCCATGGTGAACAGCCTACTGAGCTTATGTTACCTGATGAATAACTAGTCCAGATGGCTAAACTGTTGGAAGATATAAAACCAAAGCCAGTTACAGGAAACTATCCACTTTGCTCATTTTGGGGTAAGATCCATTGTGGTAACTTTCTCAGTTTGTTTTAAAATTTAATTTTTAACTGTTTTCTTGATTTTTACCTAGGTTACAAAATATCCGTCTATGCTCGAGACCTACAGACTACATGTCCTACAAGAACGATCCAATGGTTTTTCATCCCTTGAAGATACATTAGAAGCATAAATATGGTGCCTAAAGAACTTTCTACCCTTCTCTGACTACGGTTCATTTGGACATACTTTTGTATTGAAGAGAGGTATACAGCCTGAGGCTATTCATTGTGGAGAGACTCCGTCGGGTAGGATAATGGACCATCCTAGTAGGGAGAAGGATGAAAGACAACGGACCACTAAACCCATGGCACAAAGGAGTGCACACTGTACCCGACCGACTGGCTCCTCAACATCCTCTGGGGTTCTTATGGTGGGACCCAACTTCAGGGTTGGCAAGAAGATAGGGTGTGGGAACTTCGGAGAGCTCAGATTAGGTAAGAACTTGACTATATCCGTGACTTCCACTAACTACAGCAGTAGCTATAATAGGCAGTGGTGTGTTTCACAGCAAGTGGTTTATAGTTTTATGAGAAATTCTCTTAATTAAGAATTCTCTTAAGAACTAAAGAATTTGTGAATGGGATAGCCATTATCAGTTATAATTGTTATGCAAGGTTCATGTCTATGTGTATAGGCTTTTAAATTTTCCACCAATATTTTGGTGTAAGGAGATCTGCATACTGATAACAATAAAATGAAGATTCTGATTTAGTTGGCCTAAAAGTTAGAGCCCTAAATGCTGTCTTTCTAACAGACTTCCAGGTACTCTAGATGCTGCTGGCCCTGAACCCCACACCTTGAGAAGGGAGTAAGGTCTTGTTTTAATTCAAACCTTGCCCCTGATAAGGCAATAATTCCCAAATTTAATCTGCAAGGATATATTCATCCTGTTTAGAGAGGCTTCCAACTGATACTATGTTTGCGTTTCTTCCTGGAAGTCCCAGCATCGGGATTGGGCTAAAATTTCAGGGAGAAATTTCGCAAATGTTTTTTTTTCCCAACCAAGGAAATTGATTTTAAAAACAAAACAAAACAAAACAAAAAAACAAAAAACACCTCACATAAGGATATGTTTTTCACTGATTTTAAGGAAGGGAGGGAGACACATCAATGTGAGATAGAAACATCGATAGGTTGCCTCATGCATGTGTCCCAGTTGGGGATCGAACCTGTAATCGGGTATGTGCCCTAATCTGAAATCGAACCAGTCACCCTTCAGTGCACAGGACGACACTTTAACCACTGAGCAACACTGGCCAGGGTATGTGGAAATGGATTTTTTTAATTTAAAGTATAAATTTATGAGTGAGATGATGAATAATGGCAAAATCAACCAGTTTGAAGTTGTGAAATTGGGAAGAGGATATATTGGCTGTTTATTTATAATTCACCTCCTAGGTGAATGAAGAAGAGAAAATGAAAGATCTTATAAATGTATGAAGGTGGACATCAGCTTCAAGAATGAAGAGGTCCCGTTTTAGGCTAAAGTGTTTTCCTTTTCTTCATAAACATTGAGGCTATGATTATTATGAATAGGAGACTTTGGCTCTTGGAGGAATGGGAGTATAGGGTATTGCTTATTACCTCTGCTGCTTCTAATGATTCTGCAAAAGAAGATGGAAAAAGTCTTACCTTTGATCCTCCATTGAGAGATTCAGGGAAACATCATTGCACTAGCCAGAGATCACTGGCTGCAAAATTGATCACTGGAGCTGAGAATGAATTTATTTTTATTGGTAGAAGGTAGGATAATGAAAGGCTCTTCACATTTAGTGGTATTCATGTTCAGGTTAGCAAAGCCAGCAGATGCTTCTGAGAATAGGAGTAATGTGTACAATTTCATACTGAGTTCCTAGCAACTACTGAATTGCTTTAGCAACTAGTTTAATCAACATTCATTTACATAATGGATTGACTTTGCTCCAGCATCACAGTAGTATTTGAATTAAATGAATTATGACATAAATATCCACAAAATTACTGCTGAGAGGCAGTTTATAATGCATATAAATCCATGAACAGTCAAACCTTGTTCTCCAACGTCTCTTATCTCAAACAATTCGCTTCTCCACCTGACAACCCTTTCATGCTGATACCTGTCACACATCTCTCAGGCGACAAAGGAGAATGTGAGAAAATATGAGTCAGTTTACTGCTATTAACATTTCAGGATATTGTGCTGTGAATATTTTCATGTATTTTTTGCTTTTGTTACTGCTTATTATTATTAAATTTTCATTTTTTAATGTATATTTCATTTCCTTTTTGTTAAATTTTCATTTACATTTTATGTTCTTTTTGTTTGTTTGTTTTTAATATATTTTATTGATTTTTTACAGAGAGGAAGGGAGAGAGATAGTTAGAAACATCGATGAGAGAGAAACATCGATCAGCTGCCTCCTGCACATCTCCTACTGGGGATATGCCCGCAACCCAGGTACATGCCCTTGACCGGAATCAAACCTGGGACCTTTCAGTCCGCAGGCCGACGCTCTATCCACTGAGCCAAACCGGTTTCGGCTGTTTTTAAAGTTTATTAGAAAAACAGTACATTAGACATGTACTGTATCTAAGAAAGGATAAAACAGGAAATAATTTGGGTGTCTGGAGCAAATTAATTCACTTTACATTATTCCTAATAGGAAAAAATGATTTGGTTTTCAAACAAATCACTTCTTGAACAGCCTTTGGAATGAATTAAGTTCAAGAACCGAGGTTCCATTGTTCTAATACATGCAACAAAACAGATGAATCACAGAAGTAATGTTAAGCAAAAGAAGGCAGACACAAAAGAGAGGTTTATTATATAATTACATTCATAGATATTTAAAATAGGCCAAACTAATTTCTTGCGATTACAATCAAAATAGATTATTTTGGGTGGCGATAGATGAGGGTTATTGATTGTGAAGAGGCACAAGAAAACTTACTAGCGTGCTGAAAATGTTCTCTCCCAAGATAATTACATGGTTATGTGTATGAATATGTAAAAATACACTGAGCTGTGTGCTTTGTGCACTTTACTTCATGTTAGTTACATCTCAATAAAAAAGAAAAATAAGTGTTAAAAATTATTTAAAGGCATATCATTTGTACAAGAGGATTAAAGTTTGATTTTAAGAGTATGTGTCGGTGATCCTTATACAGCTTTTCACCTGTTCCTCAGGAGCAGCTGCTTCCCAATTATTGAAAGGTCCCGGATTCGATTCCGGTCAAGGGTATGTGCCTTGGTTGCAGGCTCGATCCCCGGCCCTGGTCGGGGTGTGTGCGGGAGGCAACCATTCGGTGTGTGTGTCTCACACCGATGTTTCTCTCTTGTCTCTCCCCCTCCCACTCTCTCTAAAAATCAATGGAAAAAATATTCTCAGGTGAGGACTTAAAAAAAAAAGGCTTCTTGATTTAACTACTAATTGCCTCGAGTTCTTTGGTTGGATTTTACTTTTTATAAGTTCTAGGTAGTAACTTATAAATGTACTACTTTCACTTTAGTTAGCTAGAGATCTAACTAAAACTGAGAACCCGAGGCTGTATGTCCCTTTATTGGTGTGACTGAGAACTGAGACGCTGCTTCTTTGAAATAGTGCTGTGTCTGATGAAGCTTACGGTAAATGTCTCTGTAGGTGACTTACTGAAACAGGAAGTCTTCATGTAGTGGTTTTATGGGCAGTATCACATCCAGGACTGCTTTTTCAAATGGGCCGAGTTTAGGTGTAAACTTAGTTTTTGTAAGTTCCAAAAACTACTATGTAATGCAGGGTGTTTTTTTTTTGTTTTTTTTTTTTTTTTTTTTTTTTTTAACAACACTAAAAGAACCCATAGCCAAGAAGGGAGCTTTGGGAAGCATTGTGGATTTTGTGCAACAGATGCTAAAAGTTTTGGGATTGTGCCATCTCATCAATGGTACTTTTTACCTGTTAAACTTCCTGCCTCTCTCACATATATATCAGATATATCAGTATTTAGCTGAAGCAGTCATTCATTTTAAATGGGAAGAATTTTAACTGTATGTAATTAACTTCTTCCAGAGCAAATGTTTGAGTACTCTCTCAGGATAGTGGTTGAGTGATTGTCTAGCTTTCCACATGTGGCAGCATTTTGTGTTGTCCTGTTCGGTCTAAATGATGTTCCCTGACAAAGGAATTTATTAGAGTATGCATAGCTCAAGAGAATTATCCGGTCACCTCCAGCGCCTCTTAGGCGTAAGGATAATTGCTTTGTCAGAGGGTGACATGTGTTCAGTTCTTCGATGCCCTCAGAGAAAAAAAGCAAATGTAAGTAAGCTAGCAATTTGTGATATATCAGCCATCATGTTTGGTGTTACAGAGGCTGTTTCATTTATTATATTTCTGTGAGTATATTCTTTTATACAGATACGAAAATTGAAGATGAGGGGCATTTCAAAATTAGTCTGTTATTTTTAGATTTCATGAGAACTTGGAGGAAGGCATCCTGGTGGAGTGGAATGACCATTGCCTACTCTCTTGGTTCTCTTTCTGTTCTCTACTGATTGAACATAATTTTTGACCCTTCTCTTTTCCTTATCTCTCATGATTACATGCGGTTAGATTTTTCTTCAAAATGCCTTCTGGCCAGGTAGCTCAGTTGGTTAGAGCATTGTCCCAATATGCCAAGGTTGCAGGTTCGATCCCCAGTCAGGGCACATACAAGAAGCAACCAGTGCATGCATAAATAAGTGGAACAACAAAATGCCTTGATTATAAATCCTGTTTTTAAGTCATTCTCTTTCAGAAAGTATTGCCTCATACCTACAATAATAGAAGTAATAAGAATTAGACTATCATCTTGTAGTTTACAAAGTACTTTCATATATTCTAACTCATGTAATTTTCATAATCACACTGTATATGGTAGATACCATTTAAATGTTCTGCTATAAAAACTTCCTATTTATTTTACTTGTAGGTATCCTCTCTTATACACTGGAGCCAGATGAGTACTTTAAAAATACAGCTTTCACCATTATGCTTTTCCTCTTAGCTAATGAGATCTTTGGTGGTTTCAAAGCATGTTGAATAATAAAATCAAAAGTCCTATATTTGCATTTAGAATTATCCATAATTTGATAACCAGCCTCCTTTTTTTATTGTCCTAGAACTTTCTCAGAAGGACTTTCTTTGTATATCAAGTCAGATTGGTTTGCTTCAGCACACATCTGTTACCTATTATATATCAGATACTATCTTATTGCTAGGGATAAAAAGATTAATTGAACATTCTTCTTGTCCTTTGGAAATTTGTGTCTAATGGAGGTAAAAAGATGTATGCATAGCTAATTGTAATATATGTGGAAGTTTATGGAACTGGGCGCTGCCTCAGTTCTTTATAAAGTATATTTAGAAAAGATATTTTATTTTTATTTTTTTTAAAATATATTTTATTGATTTTTTACAGAGTGGAAGGGAGAGGGATAGAGAGTTAGAAACATCGATGAGAGAGAAACATCCATCAGCTGCCTCGTGCACACCTCCCACTGGGGTTGTGCCCGCAACAAAGGTACATGCCCTTCACTGGGATCGAACCCGGGACCCTTCAGTCCGCAGGCTGACGCTCTATCCACCGAGCCAAACCGGCCAGGGCTAGAAAAGATATTTTAAAGGAACCCCCCAAAAATTGGAGAGTAGTTAAAAACAGATGAGAAATGTTAACAAAATTTTGGAAGCTGGAAAGCAGTTAGCTAAGTGGTAGCTGATTTAGCAGTCCAGAGAAAGCTGAATGATTGAAAGTGTAGGCCAGTTTGTAACATAAAATACACCAGATAGGCTTAAGAATTGGAGACACCAGGAACTTAAAGTTAGGATGCAAAAGGAGCCAAAAATAGGAAGCCTAGTTGCAGGTCTATATGTGAAGCTGTTGGATAACTAAACCTCTTCCTTCCTGGCATCACCTCCCCCTGCAGCTTCCCTTTCCCATCCTCCCGGGAGATGGAAGGTTTACACTGTTGAAGGTGAACTACACTGAAAACTGGCCTTGGCTGAACCTGGCGAAAATGAGAAAAAGTTACCCACTGATTAGTGAGAAACCCCCTCCTCCCCAGACTCTGGAAGAAACAAATTCGAAGTGCTTGGGATTTCTCTGAACACTTTTTCTTCAAAAGAAATATGTGCATAATTTCTATAATATAGTTAAGTTGTTTTATTGTGACCAAACCATTTTCAGCCTATACCATCTACTTTCTCATTTTTTGTTAGATTGCTCATGTAGTTTCTTCTCCTGAGATGCCTTTCTACCTTCTTCAACCTAAAATCCTTCTAATTTTTTACTCTTGGGAGAGGTGTCTAGAAGGAACTGCCTGGGACTCTAGCAGCCCTTTTCTCACTCAGCCACAATCTCCACTGTGTTTTTTGTTTGTTTCGTTTTGTTTGTTTGTTTTGTATGTGTGTTTATTGATTTGAGAAAGAAACATCGATTTGTTGTTCCATTTAGTTGTGTATTCATTGATTGTTTCCTGTATGTGCCCTGACTGGATATCGAACCCACAACCTGGGAATATGGGGACATTACTCTAACCAACTCAGCTACCCAGCCAAGGCTAATCTCTGCTGGTTTTTACAGCCAGAAGTTATAGGGACTTTTCTTCCTGGCATTGGAACCCTGGGCTGGGACCCCTCCCTCCTCAGCGGTGACTTCCACAGTTGAGATATTTATCCTGATTTTTATCTGCCACATGTTTGTGTGGTATACCAACCCATTCCATGTCTTCGCCCTTCCTACCAGTCTGGATGTGGCTTCTTTATACCCTTAGTTGTAGGGCTTCCACTTAGCTAGATTTCAAGTGGTTCTGAGTGATGGTTGTTCTGTAGGTTAGTTATAATTTTGATGTCTATACAAGTAACCTTTAATCAGTTAAGGTTTGGGGTGTCTGAGATGTATAGAGCATGGTCTTAAGCACCATAGGACGTTGATAGAACTCTTAGGTAAAATCTCCACTCCTCAAGATATTTGTAGTCTAGCTGACTAAGGTAGTACAAATATATAAGAAACAACATAAAGTCCAATGCAGTGACTATACGTTGTATACAAAACACTAGGGAGGAATGAAAGCCTTCAAGAATCAATGGGGTTAGGGAGGTGAAGGTAGCTAAGTACCCAGCATGTAATATGGACTCACTCAGTGATAGTTATTGCTCTTATCCTCATCCTCACTGCCAAATTCCTATTCTAAATGTTTAGGAGAATATTGATTTTATTTATACAAGTAGAGAGCTTGAGAGGAAAAATAGTTATTATTTCAGGAAGAACTTTGAGATGTTTAAATGTTGTTAGAGAGCTGTTTCCTGCACATAGTGAAAGATACAGATCTAGAGTTTCTAGTGAAGGGTCAAAACAGCTTTGAGAATCATTTCCTTATATACAGTAGATAAGTTTTACAAAAGGTGATTGGGACAATAGTTGGTTTTATTTCACACTGTTCTTTATACTAACTAATATTGACACTAAATACCATGATAAAAAAAATATAAAATCCCCATTTGTCAATGAGTTGGAAAAATGAGGGTGTGTGTTTATTGTGCCAAGAGTTAAAATCTCTGTATCTTTGAAATTCTGGATGGTTTTTCTTGCTTAATCTCATGGTTTAATAGTTAGGGAATATTAAAAAATAAAATGTGCATATGTGAGAGAGATAAATAAATTTAAAAAATATTCTTATGTCTAAATTTTCAAATTCTCAAGCTGTTTTTTGTTCTTGTCTCGCTGGGTCTTACCATCTTTATTTAGCATTTCAGTTGTAAATCATGTTTTATATATGTGAACAGCTTTGGGAATGTGACCTTTCTCATGACCCTGTAAGCTATGATTTTGCTTTGTATTTCCTGGAATAAGTGTCACTAAAACATACATTTCGTTTTTTTCCTAGGTAAAAACCTCTACACCAATGAATATGTAGCTATCAAACTGGTGAGTAGAATCTATATTTGTACTAAGTGTATTTTGGTGTCCTCACCCTCACATATATTTTTTTACAGGAAATAATTGTGAGCATTTACAAAAATACTGCTCTTTTTCTCTTACATATGACCCCATAAAGTCATTTTCCTTCAACTATGTATAGTGTTACAGCATGAATTATTGTTTACTATATAACATTAAATGATACTTACTATAGTTTAGCCATGATGAATCAAAAATAGTTAATAAAAAATTGCTGGAAGAAAAAAATCATTGCAAAACTAGTAATTTTTGTGAACTTTATACCTTTCACAGTGCTATTTAAAAGATAAAATCATTTCCCCTGGCCAGTGTTACTCACTTGGTTGAGCATTGTCCCAGGCACTGCAAGTTCACTAGTTCAGTTCCTAGTCAGGGCACATACCGAGGTTGTGGGTTTGATCCCTAGTTGGGGTATGTTCAGGTGGCAATCAATCAATGTTTCTCTTACATCAGTGTTTCTCTCTTCCTCCTTCCCTCACTTTCCCTTCTGCTCTCTCTCTCTCTAAAATCAATGACAACATATTTTTTAAAAAGATAAATTCATTTGAAAATTTTATCATTTTTGTGACTGATTCATTTTTAAAATGTAAGGTATTTATTAATATACTTAGTACAGAAATAAATTTGATCATCTAATCATTGTCTTCAAAAGCTGCCAAACATGAAAAGCACATCATGTGGTCAAATTTGAAGCAAAGAGAGGGGAACCAAGATGGTGGCATAGGTAAATGCAGATACTGCCTCCCACAACCACATCAAAATTACAACTAAAATACAGAACAACCATCACTCAAAACCACCTGAAATCTGGCTGAATGGAAGTGCTACAACTAGAGAAGTGAAGAAGAAAGCACATTGAGACTGGTAGGAGGGGCAGAGGTTCTGAAATGTGCTGGTCAGACACCCATGTGTGGCATTTTTTTAAATTGGGAGGGATATCTTAGCTGCAGAGGCCTCCCGTGAGAAGCAGGGGGTCCCATACCAGACGCCCAGCTCCGGGTTCCAGAGTTGAGAAGAGGAGCCCCCATAACTTCAGGCTATAAAAACCAGCAGTTATTGTGGCTGAGGGGCACGGAGGCTGCTGTAGACCCAGGCAGTTCCTCTTAAAGGGCCGGCAAATGAACTTACATGGACCCACTGCCTCTGAGCTCCAGCTTTGGGTCAGCAGCGTGGGGGATCCAGGAATATAGGGAGACACATGGGGAGGAATTGCATTATCTGACATCAGAGTAAGAACTCAGGGACAGCTTTCTCCCAGACATGGGTGCTTTCATGGGGTCATTGTTCTTACGCTGAGACCTCCCCCGTTGCAGAGCTGACAGCCATATATGAATTTCCATCAGCCTGACTCACACTGTTTGTTCCACCCTGGTGATTCCCTGAGACCCAGCCCCATTCAATTTGCAGCCTTACCCAAGCTGTTTGCAGCAGCTTTCCCATTTGTATGGCCTGTCCTGGCTCAGACTTCAGACTTTCCCCAAATCTCTCAAACAGCAAGCAGCTGGCATCAGCAAGACCTGGCACTAGCAACAGCCTGCCTTGCTTCACAGCTTGGCCGTGCCTGGGTACTTCTAAGCCCAACACAGGTAACAGCCACCTGCAGATCCCTCTGTAGCTCCTGCCGTGTGGCCCCAGAGCCAGGCACCTGGTGGACAGCTTCAGACCAGACCATATTAGAACTCTACATATCCATGAGCCATATACTCCAGGGGCACCAGAGCCCCACTGAAGCAAGTCCTGCTCCACAGGGTCTCTTCTGTAAAGCAACTCTTCCACTATAGTCCAAGCTGGTCTTCACAGCCATTTGGTCTGGAGGTCAGCTCCTTCCAGTGATGCCAATAGCAATCAAGGCTCAACTACAACAAGACTGTGCACACAGCCCACACAGGGGCGCACCTAGAGTGCCCAACTCGGGTGACTGGGGAGGCTGAGCCACTGTGCCCTACAGGACACCTACAACACAAGGCCACTCTACCAGTTCCAGGAGACATAGCAGCTCTACCTAATACATAGAAACAAGCACAAGGAAGCAGCCAAAATGTGGAGACAAGAAACATATCACAAATGAAAGAACAGAAAAACACTAAGTGAAATGGAAGCAAACAAACTATTAGATATAGAGTTCAAAACAATGGTTATAAAGATGCTCAAGGATCTTAATGAGAGTTTCAAGGGAGTTAGTGAGACTTTCAAGGATCTCAATGAGAACTTTAAAGACATGAAAAAAGGACCAGTCAGAAATAAGCATACACTAACTGAAATAAAGAATAATTTATAGGGATTCAATAGTAGAGGAGAGGATTCTGAGGACCAAATCAACAATTTTGAATATGAGGAAGCAAAAAACAGCTGATCAGCAGAGCAGAAAAAAAAACACGAATAAAAAAATATGAAGATAGTGTAAGGAGCCTCTGCGACAACTTTAAATGTACCAACATTAGCATTGTGGGAATGCCAGAAGGAGAAGCACCCGTGTCTGGGAGAAAGCTGTCCCTGAGTTCTTACTCTGATGTCAGATAATGCAATTCCTCCCCATGTGTCTCCCTATATTCCTGGATCCCCCACGCTGCTGACCCAAAGCTGGAGCTCAGAGGCAGTGGGTCCATGTAAGTTCATTTGCCGGCCCTTTAAGAGGAACTGCCTGGGTCTACAGCAGCCTCCGTGCCCCTCAGCCACAATAACTGCTGGTTTTTATAGCCTGAAGTTATGGGGGCTCCTCTTCTCAACTCTGGAACCCGGAGCTGGGCGTCTGGTATGGGACCCCCTGCTTCTCACGGGAGGCCTCTGCAGCTAAGATATCCCTCCCAATTTAAAAAAATGCCACACATGGGTGTCTGACCAGCACATTTCAGAACCTCTGCCCCTCCTACCAGTCTCAATGTGCTTTCTTCTTCACTTCTCTAGTTGTAGCACTTCCATTCAGCCAGATTTCAGGTGGTTTTGAGTGATGGTTGTTCTGTATTTTAGTTGTAATTTTGATGTGGTTGTGGGAGGCAGTATCTGCATTTACCTATGCCACCATCTTGGTTCCCCTCTCTTTGCTTCAAATTTGACCACATGATGTGCTTTTCATGTTTGGCAGCTTTTGAAGACAATGATTAGATGATCAAATTTATTTCTGTACTAAGTATATTAATAAATACCTTACATTTTAAAAATGAATCAGTCACAAAAATGATAAAATTTTCAAATGAATTTATCTTTTTAAAAAATATGTTGTCATTGATTTTAGATAGAGAGAGGAAGGGAAAGCGAGGGAAGGAGGGAGAGCAAGATATTGAAAACTATTTGAGGAAATAATGACAGAAAACTTCCTCTACCTGTTGAAAGAAATAGACTTACAAGTCCAGGAAGTGCAGAGAGTCAAACAAGAGGAACCCAAAAGGGCCCACACCAAGACACATCATAATTAAAATGCCAAGGGCAAAAGACAAAGAGAGAATCTTAAAAGCGTCAAGAGTACAGCAGTTCACTACAAGGGAGCACCCATAGGACTGTCAGCTGATTTCTCAACAGAAACTTTGCAGGCCAGAAGAGAGTGGCAAGACATATTCAAAGTGATGATTAACACGGACCTATAACCAAGATTACTTTATCCAGCAAAGCTATCATTTAGAATTGAAGGTCAGATAAAGAGCTTCACAGACAAGAAAAAGCTAAAGGAGTTCATCACCACCAAATCAGTATTAGTGGAAATGCTGAATGGTGTTCTTTAAGCAGAGGAAGAGGAGGAAGGTGAAGGAGAAAGAAGAGGAGGAGGAGGAGAGAGGAGAAAAAGGAAGAAGAAGGAAGGAAAAATTGGAAGAAGATAAAAAATATGCACAATAAAATGGCAATAAATACATATCTATCGACACTTAAATCTAAAAATCAAATGAACAAGGAATCTATTAAACAAAATAAACTAGAAAAAAATAGAATAGAATAGAACCAGAGGTATGAAAACATGGAACAGGTGATGACTCTCAGAGGGAAGGGGTAGGGGTGTTGGGAAGAGATCAACCAAAAAACTTATATGCACATATTATCTATGGACACAGATATTACGGTGGTGAAGACTTGGAGCGGGGTAGGAACTGGGTGGAGGGGGGCAACAGGGGAGATATATGTAATACTCTGAACAATAAAGATTTTTTTAAAGATATGCCAAAAAAAAAAGAAAATGTTTTTTTTTTAAATATATATTTTATTGATTTTTTACAGAGAGGAAGAGAGAGAGATAGAGAGTTAGAAACATCGATGAGAGAGAAACATCGATCAGCTGCCTCCTGCACATCTCCTACTGGGGATGTGCCCGCAACCCAGGTACATGCCCTTGACCGGAATCGAACCTGGGACCTTTCAGTCCGCAGGCCGACGCTCTATCCACTGAGCCAAACCGGTTTCGGCAAAAAAAAGAAATTTGAAGCAAAGAGTTTAATTCGTTTTGTCAGTCTAATCTTATGAATAACTAATCTTTGCAAATAGCATCCTGTTAAAAGAGAATAATTATGTGATTTTAAGGATTAATAATTTTAGAACAAACAATTCTTTATCTTATATTTAAAGTTGATACAAAACCATTTCTAGCTTATATGAAATGTTTCATATGACTCGTTTCTATGAAACTTGCATAAATGTTTCTCTGCCTACTAAATCCTAGTAAGTTTCCCAGGATTTTCAGGTAGTTTGGGGCTTTTTTAGTTGGAAGGCAGAGGAGTTAATGATTGAAGGACATACCTTATGACAGTTGAATGCTGTTCTTTTCTAATGAATTGCACTTACTACATCCACATCCGCTCTATGATTGATCCATCTAGATTTATCCTTCCAGAATCATGCTAGTCAACCTATTTAGATAAACTTGCATAACGTATTGTTGACATGACTGATAATTGCATTTCATTTTTAAATTTCATTAAGTTTTTAGGCTATTTTTATGGCAGAGTTAAAGCTGAAAATAGACTTAATGTTATCTAGTATAGTGTGTTTTAGTACTTAATTTCTCTTTCAAATCTTAAAGGCATTTTAGAGGATAATAATCTTTTCTATAGGCCTCCTCTCTTGCTGTTGATCTGTATTCTTCATGGGAGATATAAGGCCCATAATTGAGCTCTTTTCATTGTAACAGCAAAATTGGCCTTAAGTGTTACAGTTCTATAAGGTAGCCGTCTGCTGTTGGTTTAGGATTTCAGGCAGGTATGTGTGTTCCAGAATAACCGTGATTCTGGCAAATAACCTGCCCTCGTTGGAAATGTAATCAGCACCTGGCACAGAAATACAAGGAAGTCCTGCTGTAACTGTTACAGTTCTACTTTGTTTGGATCTTCATTGTGGGCTCTTGTTTCTTGGATATCTAGAAACCTTTTAAAAAACCATATATAGCCTAGATGGTGTGGCTTGTGTTGTGCAGTAGTTAAAGCATCAGCCTGTGCACAAAGGATCTCGGGTTTGTTTCCCAGTTAAGGGCACGTACCTGGGTTGCAGATTCCATCCCTAGGCCTGTTCAAGGTGCATGCAGGAGGCAACCAATTGATGTGTCTCTCTCATATCAATGTGTCTCTCTTACTCTCTCCCTCTCCCTTCCACTCTCTCTAAAAACCAATGGAGCCCTAGCTGGTTTGGCTCAGCGGATAGAGCGTCCGACTGAAGGGTCCCAGGTTCTATTCTGGTCAAGGGCATGTACCTGGGTTGCGGGCACATCCCCAGTAGGGGGCGTGCAGGAGGCAGCTGAATCGATGTTTCTATCTCATCGATGTTTCTAACTCTCTATCCCTCTCTCTCTCCCTTCCTCTCTGTAAAAAATCAATAAAATATATTTTAAAAAAAATCCAATGGAAAAAATATCCTCAGGTGAGGATTAATAAAAAAATAAAAAAGAAAAGATAGATAAGGTGGACTTTATAAAAACTAAAAATTTATATAATATCAAAAGATTCTGAACAGAGTGAAAAGGCAACCCAGGAAATGGGAGGGATAAAGTATTTGAAAATCACATATCTGATAAGAAATTGATATCTGGAATTTACCTTTTTAACCATTTTTAAGTGTACAGTTCAGTGGTATTAAGTACATTCACATTGTTGAGCATCCATTCCAGAATTTTTTCATCTTCCTCAACTGAAATTCTGTACCCATTAAACACTAACTCCCCATTTTCCTCTGCCCCCAGCCCCTGGCAACCAAAATTCAACCTTCTGTTTCTATGAATTTGATGACTCTGTAAGTGGGATGATGCAGTATTGTCCTTTTGTAACTAGCTTATTTCATTTAGCATAATGTCCTCAAGGTTCATCCCCTGTTATAGCATGTGTCAAAATGTCCTTGTTATAGCTGAATAATATTCCATCTTATGTGTGAAACAAAATGTACCCACATTTTGTTTATCCATTTAGTTGTTGAAAAATACCCAAATTGCTTCCACCTTTTGACTTTTGGGGATAATGCCAGTATGAATATGGGTGTACAAAAATCAGTTTGAGCCTGTCCAGCGTGACTTAGTGGTTGAGCATCAAACTATGAACCAGGAGGTCACGGTTCGATTCCCTGTCAGGTCACATGCCTGGGTTGCAAGCTCAGTTCCCAAGTGGGGGGTGTGCAAGAGGCAGCCAGTCAATGATTCTCTCATGATTGATGTTTCTATCTCTCTCTTCCTCTCACTTCCTCTCTGAAATCAATAAAAATATATTTTTTAAAAATCAATTTGAGTCCTGATATTTTTGTGTAAATATCCAGAAGTAGGATTGTTGTATCATATGGTAATTCCATGTATAATTTTTTGAGAAATTGCCATACTCTTTTCCATAGTAGCTCTACCATTTTGCAGTATTGCACAAGGATTCCAGTTTCTTCATATCCTCACCAATACTTGTTGTTTTCTGTGGTTTTGATAATAGCCATCCTAATGAGTATTCAGGTATATCTTTTAGGGTACTGTTTGATTTTCTTATTACCTAATTGCCTGGTGTGCTGTCAATACAGAATAATTAACCAGCCAATTCTTCAAGTTTGTTATAGAGCAAAGTGTGATAGTTAGCTACTTTATCTCTGGGATCTTTAGAAACTCTATTTTTGAAAACTTGATCACCATATTGTTTACATATTTTAATTGCATGTATAATCTAATTTTCTTAAGTATATAGCTAAATATACATAAACTATTTTTATGCAGCATTATTCATAATATTGAAAACTGAAAGCAATTCATGTGTATATGTGTACATACATATATACAGAGGAGTACTATTGCCATTAAAAATAACATACAAAAATAAATAAATAATATACAGCCCTGGTCGAGTGTTTCTGTTGGAGCATCATCCCATGAACCAAAGGGTTGTGGGTTCCATCCCCAGTTGGGGAGTGTATGGGAGGCAACCAATCAATGTTTCTCATATCGATGTTCCCCTCTCTCCCTCTCTCTAAAATTAATAAAAGCCCTAGCCCATTTGGCTCAGTTGATAGAGCATCGGCTTGCAGACTGAAGGGTTTTGGGTTCAATTCCGGTCAAAGGCACATACCTTGGTTGCAGGCTCAACCCGGGAGGCAACCCATTGATGTGTGTCTCTCTGTCTCTCCCCCTTCCTTCCATTCTCTAAAAATTAAAAATCAATGGAAAAATATCCTCAGGTGAGGATTAACCATAAATAAAGAAATTGATGGATAGATAGATAAAATTAATAAAAACATATCCTTGTAGGAGGATTTAAAAAAATAATATACAGTTTTACTTCCTGCCATGAAAAGATGTCATTCTCACATTGTTGAATTTAAAGACACATTTACAGAACAGCAAATGGAGCATGATCTCACTTATTAAAAAATTTTTTTAGTCTATTTTGTATATATAAGTAAATATTTGGAAGGACATTCACCAAAATGTTAATAGTGCTTCTCTGTAAAGGGATAGGGACTCATATTATTTTTAGTTTCTTCCTAATTTTTGTGTTTTTTGAAATTTTCTTCCTGAGCATATATTATTTTTCTAAAAATAATAAAACTTTATTAGCCCAAGTTCATAATAAAACAAGCAGGAAATACATGCCGGTAGTTAATTAAAAGATTGGACATCTGGTTTCCTAGGATAATACATTTCAGGAGAATACTTGATGATGAGGGGGAGCTATCCTTGAATGATGGCTCATACAGAGTATTTTTGATTTAAATATCTATGGAAAGAATTATATGTAATTCGGTTTCATCTTCTCCCTAGCTGTGATTTCAGAGAGAAATGGTGGTTTGAAAATGCTATCATATGTAGATATCATCTCTAAATTATTAAGTGATGTTATGGATGAAAAAAGTGAAGAGATAAAGAAGTACAAATTGGTAGTTACAGAATAGTTACCAGGATGTAAAGTACAGCATAGACAATATAGCCCATAATATAGTAATAACTGTGTATGGTGTCAGATTGGTGTGAGATTTATTGGGATGATCACTTGGTAACTTGTATAATGTTTGATCACTGGGTTGTAATATAATAATGTATGTCAATTATAATTGAAAAATGAAAAATTATTTAAAGTAAAAAAATAGTTAATAAATAAATAAATATTAAGTTATCTTAACTCTGGTTTGTGCTGAAAACCTAAGAATAGAAAAATTCCACTTGTCTAAAGCTGATATCTCTTTTTTGGGTTTCAGGAACTAATAAAATCACGTGCTCCACAGCTTCATTTAGAGTACAGGTTTTATAAACAGCTTGGCAGTGCAGGTAAGTCAAGGCTGTTTTCTCTGTTTACTAAAGTACAGATTACTGGAAGCCCTAAAATATGCACATTTTCCTAACTTTACTCATACCAGACACATATCCCCTCTGCTTGCTAGGTAAATAAATAAACGTAGGTAGGTAAATAACCGTAGTTAAAAAGCTACTTGCTCTTTGGCTCTTGGAGGAGCAGTTGAATTGATTGGGCATCTGTGATGCTATTACTTACTGTACCTGTAAACCAACCTTTGAAAGCTTTCACCCACCTGAAATATACCTGGTATGGAGTTTTGCTTTTTTGCAGTTTACTTACTCCCTTTCCATCTTTTTATGTATACCAACAGAAAAGAAGAGTGGTTGCTAATTTACAAGCTATATTTTACCATATTGAGACTATATGTCCATTTTAAAGACATACTATAAAATACATGTTCTGAAATACCATAACACTATCATTTTATTCATTTTTCTCATTAATTTGGAAGACCTATCTAAATAATTGTAATAACCTATGATCTTTGAGGATTTAAAAAATTTAAGATTATAATTTTTTAAACATGCCTAAAAGCTCTAATTTTTTTTAACCTAAAAGCTCTAATTTTTAAAATATCTTCCTGGTTTCCAGAAAAGTATCTTGATTTAGCAAATGTTACCAACCTTAAGGAGGTTGTACCTCTATAGGATACTTCTCACAGAAGATTAAATCCTTCAGTGCTGGGATTCAGCATTGCTTGATATTAGTAGACATTCCTTTGCTTTGTGCTTTCTTCAGTGTGACAGTTTTATGTGAATGACTGAATGGTTTCTATTTCAAGTATCACTGTTGAAGGTACTATTGAAGGAATTTGAGTTACACTTCCTTAGAATATAGAGAATTCTATAAGAGCCTCTTGGTGTTATTAAAGTTGTTTTATACTCTGACCATGCAATAATTAGCCATAGTCATAACCAAAGCAAACGAGGATGGGCATTTGTCTTTCATTGAACCTAACAAGCATTCTTGCTCACAGTAGCCTCTTAGTATATACTATTTGTTCATTGATGGTATCCTTAAATATGGAGTGTGCCTGGCATAGGATTTAAGATTGCCAACTGAGTGCATAGAACTAAACTTCAAAGTTGGCTGTAACTTTCACCATGATATTTATCACAACTCACTTATGAAAAACATATTTGTACATTTTTCAAAAATTTAGGGCACAGGTGAAAACATGATAGATTCAGCCTAACTTAGAAGTTTGAGTGGGCCTAAGGAAAATGGTGAGGCCAGTTTGCAGAGGAATGAACCAGATCAGGCCAATGTTCCCTTTTCAATATGGAGCCCCCAAATCTAATGAACCTGTTAATAGGGATGACATCTGTGCTGCCGGGTTCATACTATCCCCAAATACAAGAGAGCATTGCAGCCTTAGCCGGTTTGGCTCAGGGGATAGAGTGTCAGCCTGTGAACCAAAGGGTTCCGGGTTCGATTCCAGTCAAGGGCACATACCTTGGTGGCAGGCTCCTCCCAGGCCCAGGCCCTGGTGGGGGTTGGTGCAGGAGGCAACCAATGTGCTTCTCTCTGTCTTTCCCTCTCTTCCACTCTCCCTAAAAATCAATGGAAAAAGATCCTCAAGTGAGGATTACCGAGAGAGAGAGAAAGAGAGAGAGAGAGAGAGAGAGAGAGAGCGAGCATTGCAGATTCTTGATGTTTTGGCATTCTACATGCACTAAAAATATTATTAAACTAGAAGCCCAGTGCACAGATTTGTGTACCAGTGGGGTCCCTCAGCCTGGCCTGCAGGATCGGGCTGAAACCAGCTTTCCGACATCCCCCAAGGGGTCCTGGATTGTGAGAGGGTGCATGCCAGGCCGAGGGACCCCACTGGTGCATGATTGGGGCTGCGGAGGGATGCGGGAGGGCTCCACAGCGTGTCCGACTCGTCTCACTCAATCCCCACCAGCAAGCTAACCTACCAGTTGGAGCGTCTGCCCCCTGGTGGTCAGTGCATGTATTAGCAACTGGGTGACCAGTTGCATGTCTTCCCCCTGGTGGTCAGTGTACTTCACAGCGAACAGTTGAACGGCCTTAGCATATCATTAGCCTATTATGCTTTGATTGGTGGAACAGCCAACCAGATGACCGGACACTTAGCATATTAGGCTTTTATTATATAGGACTAGAGGCCCAGTGCACGAAATCTGTGCATGGGGAGGCAGGGGTCCCTCAGCCCAGCCTGCACCCTCTCCAATCTGGGACCCCTCGGGGAATGTCTGACTGCTGGTTTAGGCAAGATTGGTCCTAAACCAGCAGTCGGACATCCCTCTCACAATCCGGGACCGCTGGTTCCTAACTGGTCACCTGCCTGCCTGCCTGATTGCCCCAAACTGCTCTCCCCTGCCAGCCTGATTGCCCCTAACTGCCTCTGCCTCGGCCCCTGCCACTGTGGCTTTGTTCGGAAGGACGTCTGGAAGGATATCCATTGTAATTAGCATATTACCCTTTTATTAGTATAGAAAGGTAGATCATTGGATGGAGGGTGTCGATGGGAAAAAAGGAGGGACATCCGTAATACTTTAAACAATAAAGATAACTTTGGCCGAAACTGGTTAGGCTCAGTGGATAGAGCGTCGGCCTGCGGACTGAAGGGTCCCAGGTTCGATTCCGGTCAGGGGCATGTACCTGGGTTGCGGGCACATCCCCAGTGGGAGGTGTGCAGGAGGTGGCTGATTGATGTTTCTCTCTCATTGATGTTTCTAACTCTCTATCTCTCTCCCTTCCTCTCTGTAAAAAAATCAATAAAAAAAAAAAAGATAACTGTTTTAAATTTTTAAAAAATTGCCTTTCATCTCTAGCTGGTTAGGCTCAGTGGATAAAGCATCGGCCTGCAGACTGAAGGGTCCCAGGTTCGATTGCAGTCAAGGGCACATGCCCTGGTTGTGGGCTCGATCCCCAGTAAGGGGCGTGCAGGCAGCAGTCAATCAATGATTCTCTCATCATTGATGTTTCAACCTCTCTCCCTCTCCCTTCCTCTGTGAAATCAATCTTACTGCATAAAACAGCTTACTATTTCACAATTTGCTATTTAGTTCCTATAAGAAGGTGTTTAGAAAGAAAGGGAACAAGGTATTGCATCACTTTGTTATCATTGGTTGAACTTATGCCTGAAACTGTTAACACACACAGCTCAAAGAAATGGGGTGAGAAACCGGTTGCTTGGTGATGGAGGAAGGTATGAGAAAGACCATAAAGCCATTGCTGCTGTTGAGTGGTAGAAGGGGCAGCATATAACAGTTGTTACAAATGCCTCTGAGCTGGTAACAGAAGGCTCAACAGTGTTCCATGGAAATAAAAAAGGCAAAATTTTGGCCCAAATTTGAAGAACCAATGCTCTGGGATTTCCAACAATGAATTACCTTAAAGAGCAATAAATTCTATGGCTAGTAGTAGTCAAACAGAGATGGATGACCAATTGTTAAGAAGCAGTTTTTAAAAATATGTTTTTATTTGTTTCAGAGAGGAAGGGAGAGGGAGAGAGAGAGATATAAACATCAATGATTAGAAGCACTGATCTGCTGCCACCTGCACAACCCCTACTGGGGATCAAGCCTACAACCCAGGCATGTGCTCTGATGGGGAATCAAACCTTGACCTCCTGGTTCATAGGTTGGCACTCAATCATTGAGCCATGCCAGGCAGACTGTAAGAAGCAATTCTTGCCCTGCAGCAGTGGCTTTATGGTCTTACTCTTTATGGTCTTTCTCTTATCTTCCTCCATCACCAAGCAACTGGTTTCTGTCCCCATTTCTTTGAGCTGTGTGTTAATGTTTTCAAGCATAAGTTCAACAACTGATAGTAAAGTGATGCAATACCTTGTTCCCTTTCTTTCTGAACCCCTTCTTATAGGAACTAAAAAGCAAATTGTGAACTGAAGTAAGCTGTTTTATGTAATAAGATTGATTTCCTGTCTCTTAAAGGGAGGGCAGTTTCCAGGCAGAAGTTGAACAGTTATACATTCTGGATGTTGTGAGGCCAATTTGTGCACTGGGTAAAAAGTTAGACTAACATTACCTTTTTTGTTAATCCTCATCCAGGGATATTTTTCTATTATTTTTAATTTTTAGAGAGAGTGGAAGGGAGGAGGAGAGACAGAGAGAGAGACACATCGATTGGTTGCCTCCCACATATGCCCAGACCAAGGCATTGAGCCTGCAACCGAAGTATTTGTCCTTGACTAGAATCAACCTGGGACCCTTCAGTCTGAGGGCCAACACTCTATCCAGTGGCCAAACTGACTAGGGCCTAGAATACATGCCTTTTAAAGACCTATTTGAACTCTAAGATTGTATTAAAAAAACTTTTTAAAAAATATATTTTTTTTATTTCAGAGAGGAAGGGAGAGGGAGAGATAGAAACATCAATGATGAGAATCATTGATTGGCCGCCTCCTGCATGCCCCTTACTGGGGATTGAGTCTGCAACCTGAGCATGTGCCCTTGACTGGAATCAAACCCAGGACCTTTCAGTCCACAGGCCAACGCTCTAGTCACTGAACCAAACCGACAAGGGTAGTAAAAACTCTTAAAAGCCCTAGCCAGTTTGGCTCAGTGGACAGAGTGTCAGCCTGTGGACTGTAGGGTCCTGGGTTCAATTCTGGTCAAGGGCACATGCCTGGGTTGTGGGCTCGGTCCCCAGTAGGGGGCCTGCAGGAGGCAGCGGATCAATGATTCTCTATCATCATTGATGTTTCTATCTCTCTCTCCTCCCTTCCTCTCTGAAATAAATATACGTTTTTTTAAAAAAAAGAAACTAAAAAACCCAAAAAACTCTTAAAGACCACTTATTACTGTATAAGAAACATCATGACACAGATATATATTATACCTGGTATCTTCCTCAGTTTCAGAAAATATAAACTTATTTTTTTAGAATTTAATTATATTATAAATATAACCCTGGCAAAATGGACATCCAATGAGCCATGAATCAAAATGGGGACATTATCTAGTGTTTCCCATCATTGGATGGCTGGGTGCAAGGTAGGTTTTTATATGCAAATTATGGTTTGAACATGGGATTACTGGAGAATTTCTAAATTTATTACAAGAAAAACTTTTAAATGTGACTGTAACTATATGTAATTGACTATGAGAAATTGTTATTTTTCCCTGATTATTGGAAAGTCAAAGTTTTAGATGTTCTCTGTTTCTAAACCAAATACATTCTTCAGTTCTGCTTCATTCCTTCTTACATCACTGTGTTTTGATTTTTCAAGGTACAATAGACTTTGGCATTAGACATAATTATGCTTTTCAGATGTAGTTTCTATAGGTTGTTCTGAGTACACAAGATTGGGAGTCAGGGACTTAAATATTGACTCTGGATTCCCTGGAACTTGCCTGCCCTGCTGGTAGCTTTAGTATTGGTTTGGTACAATGATCCAGGTTCACAAGAATGAACAGCAGTATTTAATTTTGGTAATTAAAGCTGTAAGCCTTGGAATCAGCAGAAGAAAGCACCCTGTGAGTTGTAACCATCTTTCTTATTTTTCTTATCATTTTCTTCAGTCATCAGTGTTGTGTTAATTGTATGATAGTCACCATGGTAAGTCCCAATGGGAATGTTTTTATGCTCTCAGAGTCCTTTTACTTAAGAGAGTATATACATAATCAACATTTTCCCAGCTCACAGCTGTTTTATCCCATACTAGAGGCCCGGTGCACAAAATTCTTCCATGGGTAAGGTCCCTAGGCCTGGCCAGCAATCAGGGCCGATCGGGGCTTTCTAGCTGCCGACCAGGGCCTCCCTTCCTTGGCTGCTGGCTGCTGGCCAGGGCCTGCCTTCATTCTGTGCCACCCCCTGATGGTGGGCGCACGTCATAGCGAGCAATCGGTTTCCTGGTTGAACTCCCGTAGGGAAAATTTGCATATTAGGCATATACACACACACACACACACACACACACACACACACACACACACACACGTGGCCCGGTGCACAAAATTCGTGCACATTAAAAGGGGATTAATTAGAGGAAGTATTTTAATATTGCTATTTGTCCTTTCTCTATAATGGAAGTGTCAGAGATGAAAGAAAATTAGTAAAATGTATATGAAAATCTTCCTCCTGTCAGAGTTTGGGGCACACCACGGGACCCAGGGTCAAGTCCCCGCTCACCCACATGTGCCTCAAAATCACATGAGATCCAGATCCGGCCAGCCTCCCCCCCCCCCCCCCCCCGCCCCCTCGCATTGGGCTAGATCCAGACCTGGCTGGTCCCACCCTTGTTAAGCCCCACCGGGTGGGGGGGACGCAGCCTCAGGTCCCCTGGCCCAGCGCCGGGGCAGGGGACCCGGCCTGAGGTCCCCCAGGCCGGGGTGGGGGTGTGCCTTGAGGTCTCCTGTCAAGCCCCACCAGGCAGGGGGCACAGCCTCAGGTCCCCTGGCCCGGTGCCGTGTTGGGGGCACAGCCTCAGGTCCCCTGTCAAGCCCTGCTGGGAGGGGGCGCAGCCTCAGGTCCCCTGTCAAGCCCCGCTGGGAGGGGGGCACAGCCTCAGGTCCCCCGTCAAGCCCTGCTGGGCAGGGGGAGTGGCCTGAGGTCCCCCATCCTGGGGCAAGGGGAGCAGCCTGAGGTCCCCCTTCAAGCCCCGCTGGGCAAGGAGTGCAGCTTGAGGTCCCCTGTCAAGCCCCGCCAGGCAGGGGGCGCTGCCTCAGGTCCCCCGGCCTGGCATCAGGGCAGGGGGTGTGACCTCAGGTGCCCTGGCCCGGTGTTAGGGTGGGGGGTGTGACCTGAGGTCCCCCGTCAAGCCCTGCCAGGTGGGGGGGCGTGACCTGAGGTTCCTTGTCAAGCCCTGCTGGGTGGGGGCCACAGCCTGAGGTCCCCAACCTGGCACCAGGGTAGGGTGCATGGCCTGAGGTCCCCCATCAAGCCCTGCTGGGTGCGGGGCGTGGCCTGAGGTCCCCCGGCCTGGAGCCAGGGTGGTGGGGGGCATAGCCTGAGGTCCCCTGTCAAGCCCTGCCAGGTAGGGGGCACGGCCTGAGGTCCCCTGTCTACCCCCACTGGGGTGGGGAGGCGCAGCAGCCTCAGGCCCCTGCTGATTGCTCTTCAAGGCTCGTTATGGGAATTCGGCCTCCTCTGTGGGTGCAGCTATCTTTGTGGTGGAGTGATGGTCAATTTGCATATTCCCGCTTTATTATATAGGACTTATGGCCCGGTGCACAAAATTCGTGCATGGAGGGTGGGTTCCCTCAGAACAGCCTGCACCCTCTCCAATTGGGGACCCCTTGGGGGATGTCGGACATCCCTCTCGCAATCTGGGACTGCTGCCTCCTAACTGGTCGCCTGCCTGCCTGATTGCCCCTAACTGCCTCTGCCTGCCTGCCTGATCACCCCTAACTGCCCTCTCCTTCTAGCCTGATCTCACCCCCAATGGCCCTCCCCTACTGGCCTGATCTCACCCCCAACTGCCTCTGCCTGCCTGATAACCCCTAACTGCCCTCCCCTGCTGGCCTGGTTGCACCCAGCTGCCCTCCCCTGCTGGCCTGATCTTGCCCCCATTAGCCCTCTCCTGATGGCCTGATCTTGCCCCCAACTGCCCGCCCCTGCATGTCCGGTTTCCCCAACTGCCCTCCCCTGCCGGCCTGTTCTCGCCCCCATCGATCCTCCCCTGCTGGCCTGATCTCGCCCCCAACGGCCCTCCTCTGCCAGCCTGATCTTACCTCCAACTGCCCTCCCCTGCTGGCCTGATCTCGCCCCCAACTGCCCTCCTCTGCTGGTCAATTTGGTTCTGCTTGGTTGGTTTCTATGCCAGTCAGCATCTAAAGCTCCACCTCCTAGGCAGCTATTGGCTCCTCACAGCACCCAGATTTGGTTCTGATTGGTTGGTTCCTATGCCAGTCAGCATCAAAAGCTCTGCCTCCTAGACAGCCATTGGTTCTTCACAGCACTCACATTTGTTTCTGATTGGTCAGTTCCTATGTTATTCAGTGTTTCTGGGCCTATCAACGGGGCCTGATCAGGAAGGTGGGGCTCATCAGCAGCCTCAGTGGAGGCCTCCAGAGAAATGGAGGCGCAGCTGCTGGCCAGGCACAGACAGGAAGAGAGAGGCAAGTGCTGATCTACAGCTGCCACAGAGGCTCTAGATCAGTCCCTGCTTCTCTCTTCAGGCCTCTCTCCGGGCATGATTCGCAGCCCCCTCAGCAGTAAGTGCTAGGTCACCTCGCCTGCAGCCACAGTGCTGGGTCGCTACAGCAACCCAGTGCTGACTGCAGGACTTCCGGTTGGTCTGCCTCTGGTTGTAACTGGTCATTACAGATCCAGGGTTTTTATATATTAGGATAACTACTACTCACTTTGCTTGTATTCTAACACACAGGAACAGGATTGATGGATGACAGGTTTGCAGCAAAGATAGGCAAAACCAGTGGGCTAAACACAACAGGAAGCCTATACATAAGACAGTATGAGCAGGAAGGTTCCTAGCTAGACATGAGCTGGCCACGTGATAATGGCCTAGTATAATATATGGTAATTAAATAAAAGATAAATAAATAGAACCAAGTATACAGCAGAAATGACAGAAAGGAGGGAGAGGAAATGAATTAGAAAGGACAGAAACAAATGAAAGAGAATGGAGATAGGCAAATGGCAAGAAAATAGGACTCTAGATATAGAAATGAGAATGCAAGTAGATAAAATATGGTGGAGGCCTCTGATTTAGGAAGAAGGAGCTATACAGTTGCCTTCTATTATTTTTCTCAGAAATAACTATTTCTTAAGAACAGTAATTTTGAACAGTAGCTCCGACATTTTTAATAAATAACATACTTTAGTACTTTGACTGAAAATTCCCACCACTTCACTTAGCATTTGAACCAGGCCGACTATAATATAAATGGACACTGCAATAATCTCTTTGCTTCTGCACCCTTCTTAATTATATTGAGAGATCCTAATAGTAGTGGAGGAACTCATCTTGCTCTGGTTAAACATTTAATTCCATTTCTATGTAGCAACCTGCCTGGGAAAAATTCTCAAGGGCTATAGGAAAAAACAGCTGATCTAACCCTGAGCTGCCATGTCCTGGCTATCCAGCAGCTATTCTAATCTGCTAATGACCATTCTGCTTTGGCTCTCTTATAAAGGATATGTTAGTCCTCAAATAAAAAAAAAAAAGACAGCAAGATACTTATTGAAATTTCATAATGTATCAAAGCCCAGGCAAAATCTCATTGAACAGAGAATGCAGGTGAACTTAAGTACCCAGTAGGTACTTTATATGTTATTTTATTTTTCCCATTTTTGAGCACAGGGAAGTTTAGTAACTGACTTACCCCAAGGTCACACAATAGGCAAGCTATGTGTTTTGTTTTGTTTTGTTTTTTGTACAATAGATTCAGTGCAATTCCTATCAAGATACCCATGGTGTATTTCACAGAACTAGAACAAATATTACAGATTTTTGTCTTGTGTGTGCATATATATACATATACCTAGCAGATGCCTGGGCCCTTTAACCCATTACCCCTTACCTAATCATAATAGAGTGGTGGAAGAAAGCCATAAAAATACTTAATTGAAGCAAAGGCCCAGAACCGCCCTCTAGTGTGAAAGAGTAAGATTTTCTGTTTCACCGGGTGCCCCCAAATTTTATGCCATAGAAGGCTGCCTTTGTTACCTCCAAAATGTTTTATGGCCTTTGGTGATCTAGGTTTTTAAATATTTCTTTCCAAAACAAATTAATCATTTATGTTGAATACATGTGCCATCTATACAACTGAGAGGCTCAGAGCTACCTATGCAAGCCATTTTAACCCACTGAAACCTTTATGTTGTGACTAAAGAAAGTGTTCATAGAGCTGATTGGGCTTTGCAGTTTTGGAGTTTCTGGGAGGGAATGGTTTTATATGTCATCAAAAAGCATAGGAGATGCCAGTTGGTACCAAAAGAAGAGCTTCAAATCTAGGCAACTGTTAAATTAAAAAGAACATGGTGCTCACTTCAGCAGCACGTATACTAAAATTAGAATGATACAGAGACTAGCATGGCCCCTGTGCAGGGATGGCATGCAATTTGTGAAGTGTTCCATATTTTAAAAAATATTCAAAAAGAATATGGTTCTGCTTCAACAAAGGAATAAAGCATAAATGTGAAGAAAATCATAAAGTGTGAAATTGACAAAACCCTTCGATAATATGAACTTCTTGAGGAGTGCATTGTAAACAAGCTGGGCAAACATAGGAAGCAGTAAACAGGAAATTAAAAATAAGAACATCTGAAGAGATACTGGAAAGATGGGAATTTTACTTAAAATATAAGTGAATCATATAACAAGAGTAGTTGGGAACAAGTAACATGCCTCAACTTAGATATCCAATACTTAGAAGTGCTTAAAAGAATTTAGAAAAAACTTTGGTCTCCAGTTAGGCAGACATTTTTTTAATGAGAAGAAAGGATAAAGTGGTGATCTCAGTAAAAGAAAGTAAAATCTGGACCCTTTCTTGTCATGTATAAGTTTTCAGAAATCTCTCTGCCAGGGGTATTATAGATGAAGGAGACAAAAACCACTAAATTTAGGGAAAATTGATCTTTATTAGTATAAAAGAGCAGCCTTGAAATTGCATTTTTACGACTATGGAGATTTAGACACTTGCCATCTCTAAGTACAGGCAGTGTGAATAAGTGGAGACAGCCAAGAATTGGAGTGAGGAGAAAAGTTTAGTCCAGTTTTTCCAGCTGTTTCTTTGTGACTTAAGTGTTAACCATGTGCCCATGCCTCAGTTTCCTTTTTCATACAACAGGAAAACCTGCTGTTTCTTATCAGGTTTGCAGACCTGCTGGGGTTGGATGAGGTAATGTCTGTAAAGGCCTTGAATTCTTAAAGGGAAAAGTGCTATGTAAACACAAGGCAGTATTGTTTTACATTGAAACTGAAGATCTAACTTTCCTGTAGAAATGAAAATATCCTATTTACATTTCTCATAGCTTTAAGAAATATCAGAATGAAGAGATAACAGTTTCATTTTTTTGAAGAATTTCTGATGGGTTCTAAAGCAATGGTCACTTTGTACTTACCGTTCTTTCTCTCACTCAATGCAGCAGAATTCTGGCTACTGTGAACCCATCATATCTGTGATCTTGCGTGAGGTGTTTGTTTCTTTCAGAGGAGCTGAATGTGGTCCGGTTGAAATACAGTTATTCTCATTCGAGCCTCCTTGGTGAAAAGGAGTACTTTTACTTCCACAGCTCCATAGCCTTTTATGCCACTTTGGAGGGGACACTTGGCCACAGCTATGTTGAACCCCAGAAAAAAAGATAAAATTGCCATACCTATTTTTGTTCTGTAAAATTGAGTTGAAACTATTGCTCAAGGACCAAGCCAACTGGTCCCGTTAATGTTCGGTCCTTACTAAAACTGCACTTATTTATGAATCCTCAAAGGAAGCGGTGTTACTAGTGCCAAACTACTGAAACATCATAAATAAGGCTTATTGTTGTATGGGAATGTTAGTGAATATCAGTACCCTCGAAGAGGAAGGGTACATAAGTTGGTTGGGCATTGTCCCATGCACTGATGAGTTGCAGGTTCTATTCCCGGTCTTTATTTGCTTATGTCAACAATTCTTCATTAACTGTGTTAAGGAAGCAGAATAAAAATATGAATGAATAATTTAAGATATTAGAACAAAGTCCCTCAAATTATTTCTATATGGATATGGTATACAGTTAGAGACATGTATATTTACTAGTACTTATAAACTCCAAGCATCTACTCTGTGGTAAAAATTCTAGAATATAAGCCCCTTGAGTTTCAGAATTATCTTTGTTTGTTATCAGTGTAGTGGCTATAGCATTGCAAATTGTCAGACATAAATAGCCCATCAGCAGCTAAAGAATTATGTAGATGCAATCAAATTGAAGGAGGGATCATAGCTTGTCAGCTGTTTGCTTAGCTCCATTCTTAACAGTTGCAGTTCAGGAAAGGTAGCACTCTAGATCTCATACTTTGCTCCCTAAAAAAAAAAGAGTAATTTTAGAGAAGGAATTTTTAATTATCCATGTGCAGCTTGGCTAAAGGAAAAAATGTTTTTCCAATTGAAAAATTTTGTAAGTTCTGGAGAAAATATCACTGAAGGTTTAGAAAAATATATAAAAGAAAGATTTACTTTCTCCACTTAGCTACTATTACCATGTATATTTCATTGGTCTTTTTTATTTCTATATTTTTCATTAAAAATGTTCTGATTTAAAGATAAGATTGGGAATCTTTTATCAAATGGAAAGGTATAAATTTCAAACAATGTTGAGATTCTTTTAGCTTTATTACCCAACTAGAGGCCCGGTGCACAAATTGGTGCACGGGTAGGGTCCAGCCGGCCCCACCCCCAATTGTGGGGGGAGCCCAATTGAGGGTGGGGCCGGGGGAAGGGCCCGGTTGAACTCCAGGTCGAGGGGACAGTTTGCCTTTTAGCCTTTTATTATATAGGATATGGATTTGAGAGATGAGATAGTAAAGGAGTAAGATGAGTTAAATGTCAAGTTGAATATTACAATTGAAAAATAATTGAAATATTGAAAATATTCTAGGAAGATAATAAAAGAATGCTAGAAAAGAAGTCGATGGGGCCTATCTATGTGATAGTTTGTTATATATTGGCACTGACACTTTGGGGACTTGGTGGCCTAATTTGAGTCTAGAGGCTTTATTCAAAATCCGAAGATACAGGGAGGCCTTGACTAACGAATTTAATTTGTTCCGTGACGGAGCTCATAACTCAAATTACTCGTATGTCAAATCAACAGTAAACGAGTGAGACACATGATGCTGGGCTGATGTTGTGGCGTTCACTGTGATGTTTGCTGCACCACCTAGCGGTTGGGTATCTGAAGCTGGCTCGTAACCTGAATTTTAGCTCGCAACTCAAAGCAAAAAATTGGCTGAGAGACGGCTCGTATTTTGAAAAACTCGTTAGTCGGGACACTCGTAAGTCAATGCCCTACTGTTCCTCTAAGAACACCATATTTCAGTTCATTGGCTGCTGGGATAACCTAATAAACATTCAAATAATCAGACCACCACCCAGCTGTCAAAGATCACATGTGCTAGTTTTTAGGTATCCTATTTAATAAAAGAGAAACATGGTAATTAGCCATACGTCAGCTACCCTTCCCATTGGCTAATCAGGGTGATATGCAAATTAACTGCCAGCCAAGATGGCAGCCGGCAGCCAGGCAGCTTGAAGCGAACATGAGGCTTGCTTGCTTCAGTGACGGAGGACTCCAACGTTCCCCGCCTGCTGCTGCCGGCCTCTGAGCTTGCAGTTTGAAACATTGTTACAAATATAGAAGCTAAATAAAACCCCAGAAACCTGCTTTCAGCCAGCTGGGATCTCAGAGCTGGAGTTGAAACAGTGTTTCGATTATAGAACCCAAACAAACCAGATACCTGCTTTCAGCAGCCGAGGCCTAAGAGCTGGAGCCAAGCCTCAGAGCTAAAGCTGGCCCAGAATAAAAAAAAAAAAGAAAAAGAAAAAAAGGAGCGGTTGGGAGCTCCAGTCACCCGCCAGCCTGAAAACAGCCCTCAGCCCCTCACCCAGACTGGCCAGGCACCCCAGTGGGGACCTCCACCCTGAAGAGTGTGTGACCAGCTGCAAACAGCCATCATCCCTTCCCCCCAGGCGGGCCAGGCACCCCAGTGGGGACCCCCACCCTGATCCAGGACACCCTTCAGGGCAAACCAGCCAGCCCCCACCCATGCACCAGGCCTCTATAGTAAAAGGGTAATATGCCTCCCAGCACCGGGAACAGCGGAGCCACAAGGCCTCCAGCACCGGGATCAGAGTGACGGGGCAGCGCCCAAACCCCCTGATCGCCCTGCGGCTCTGTGTGTGACGGGGTGGGGCCACAACCTCCCTATCTGCCCTGCTCTGTTCGTGACAGGGGAAGGCGCCCCAACCCCCTGATCAGCCCTGCTCTGTGCCTGATATGGGGGAGCTCCCCAACCTCTGATCGCCCTGCGGCTCTGTGTGTGACAGGGTGCGGCGCCCCAACCTGCCCCCGCCCCCATGGGCCCTGCTCTGTGTGTGACGGGGTAGAGCCATAACCTCCCCATCGGCCCTGCCCTGAGTGTGACAGGGTGCGGCGCCCCAACCCCCTGATCCGCCCTGCTCTGTGTGTGACAGGCGGCGGTGCCCCAACTCCCCTATCGGCCCTACTCTGTGAGTGACAGGGGGAGCTCCTCAACCCCCTGATCGGCCCTGCTCTGTGCATGACGGGGGAGCTCCCCAACCCCCTGATCGACCCTGCTCTGTGCATGACAGGGTACGGAGCCCCGACCCCCCTGATGGGCCCTGCTCTGTGAGTGACAGGGGGCAGCACCCCAACCCCCTGATTGGCCCTGCTCTGTGCGTGACAGGGGGTGGCGCCGCAACTTCCCCATCGACCCTGCCTTGAGTGTGACAGGGGGCGGTGCCCCAACCCCCCAATCGGCCCTACCCTGAGCGTGACTGAGAGTGGCATTGCAACCTCCCGATCTGCCCTGCTCTGTGCATGACAGGGGGCGGCGCCCCAACTCCCCAATCAGCCCTGTTCTGAGCCCTACCAGGAGCTGCATCTAGGGATTGGGCCTGCCCTCTGCCACCCGGGAGCAGGCCTAAGCCAGCAGGTCGTTATCTCCCGAGGGGTCCCAGACTGCGAGTGGGCACAGGCCGGGCTGAGGGACCCCTCGCCCCCCGAGTGCACAAATTTTTGTGCACTGGGGCTCTAGTCTATATATATAAAAGCCTAAGTGACTGGAACTACTGGATGACCAGTCGCTATGACGTGCACTGACCACCAGGGGGCAGACACTCAACACAGGAGTTGCCCCCTGGTGGTCAGTGCGCTCCCAAGCCAACCTCCCGTGGTCCCTCCCCCTGACCCCCGGGCTGGGACAGAGAACCAGAGGTGGGTGGCAGCAGATGCGGCCCTTTTCCCAGGGGGGCTGAGAACCAGCTCCCTCCCCTCTTTGGGGCCAATGGCCAACCTCCCATGCCCTGTCCTCCCCCTGGCCATCAGGCCCCAATCAGCCTGCGAGCTGAGGTGGTGGCACAGCAG